TGTCTTCTTCTTAGGAGATACTTATAATAGTAAGTGGGATGATCATAATTTCATAATCTTCAATAGTAAGTTTTTATTAAAGTGAGTTACATAATTTAGACCTTAGAGAACCCTGGCTATTTTGGAAGGCATTGCATTTCAGTATGTTTTTTCCTTTGGTATTAGAAACATCAAGTGCTTCTCTTTCAAAATAATGGTAATGGAATACAAGATAACCAACAATTTTAGAAATATAAAAATGGAAAGTGAGGTTATGTATCTTGATTGAAAATCAATAAGTAAAAATATTATTGAACTCCTACAGGAAACTAAAAAGGCTTCTAAAGAAAGTTAATAGAGATTGGAAAAGAGAGAATAGATTTAAGTTTAGAGGTTGCACCTGTTTTAAATTCTTTTTCTGAGAGAAGACCTCACTAAGAGGTGGTAAAGTGAGCAAGTTTAACTGTTTTTATTGACTATACAGAAAACTATATTGGAGATGCCATTTGAGATGCCTATGTTCATCCACAAATACTAATATGGTTTCTCCTTTGGGAGATTAATAACATTTTTTGCTTATTTATTTTGTCTTGGCGATCACATTTTTAATTTCAAAGAGATTTTTTCACTCTCCCACAAGATTCATTAAGTTATTAGTAGACATATAACATTGTGTGTATTTGAGATGTACAAGGTGATGCTTCAAAATATCCATAGATTGTGAAATCATAGCAACAAAGCTAGATAACATACCACCACCTTAAAGAGTTACCATTTCTTTTCTATTTTGGTGGTGAGGTCACTTAAGATCTACTCCTTTGGTGACTTTAAGATACCTAATACAGGATTGTTAACTACAGTCACCACACTGTCCATTTGATCTCCAAACTTACTCAGTTTAATAACTGGAAGTTTGTACCCTTGAACCAACATCTCTCCATTTTCCTCACCTCTCTCCTCCTCTCGGGAACCACCAATCTAAGCTTTGTTCCTATGAGTTTCACTCTTGTAGATTCCAAGTGAGATCATACAGTAGTTGTCCTTTCCTCTCTGACATCCATTTAGCATCGTGTCCTTAAGTCTCATCTCTGTTGCTGCAAACATGGCTGGCTCTCACATAGTTGAACAAGATTCACATGTATATCATATATAACATATACACACATATCCTATATAATATATATCATTAATATTAATATTTCTGTACTTGTCCATTCATTGATGAACACTTAGGATGTCTACATGTCTTAGCTATCGTGAATAATACTGCAATGACCTGGGGGTACAGATATTTAAGACAGTGTTTTCATGTCCTTTAGAGCTATAAGCTACACTCTGTGGAATTACTGGATCTAGCTCAATTTTTGATATTTTGAGGAGTCCCCCCCCCCACTCCTCCATATTCCCTATGGCTGTACACTATGGTACAGTGAACATGCACCATCTCCTCCCTCCAATAGCTCTCATGGTTCCTTTTCTCCCATCCTCACAGCTCTGGTCTCTTGTACTTTTGATAACAGCTGTTCTGTCAGGTCTGAAGTGGCAGCCAAAGTGGCTTTGATTTGCATTTCCCTGATGATTAGTGACACTGAACACTTTTTCATGTACGTGTTGTCCATTTTTTTCTTTGGAAAAATGTGTATTCAGGTCATTCGCTCATTCTTTGGCATTGAGTCATTTGAGTTCCTTATATATCTTGGATATCAACACCTTAGTTATATCATTTGCAATATTTTCCCGTTTGGTCGATTGCCTTTTCATTTTGTTGATGATTTCCTTTGCTATAACTCCACTTGCTATTTTTGCTTTTATTGCTTGTACTTTGGTGTCATATTAAGAAGCATCACGGCAGAGAGATTTTTCCTGACATTGTTTTCTAGGCATTAGAGGGTTTTTGTTTTGTTTTGTTTTTTGTATATTCCTGTATAAGATGTCATTATATGGATGTAAAACATCATCTTTCTGAAGATATTTGTTACATTTTTATAAAGTTTTCTTGCTTCTTGCATTGGCTCTATTCCTTGCAAGTTCGCTGGTCGCGCTAGTTTATGTTTTTCATCTCAACAGCTCTCCTCAAAGGCCTGAGGATCCTTGGATGCTTGTCACATTTGTGAAGTAGGCTTCTGGGAAAAGTTGTTTGTGTGGTGTCTTTGGGAGACTATCAATGAAGATTCCTGTTGGTCCTTTCAGCTTCCCCAAAGCTCTGATCTCTGCCTAAGAGAGTACGTACTTTGATAACAGAGACTTGCAAGTTGAATAATAAGGGAGTTTTAGCCTTAAATTTTAGAGTATAAACTCTCACACAATCAGAATAGTGCCTACTTCTGCCCTTAATTGTTCCATTATCTTAGAGCTGTAGTGATGACATAAAAAAGATTTATTTATTTATGCATAAAAGTACAGGGGTACAGCCCAGAGGTGTGTGTGTGGTGGTGGTGGGGGGGGGTGGTGGTGGTGGTGAGAGGATTCACCAGAGACAAAATAGGAAGCAGAACAGATGTGAAATACACTGCTGAGGGGAGCAATGGGAGTGTCCAGAGAGGTCTAACTCCCTGGCTAGGAATCAAACTTGTGCTGCAGTGGTTTCAGAGAGCTTTGTAGGGCTGGGCTTTAACCTGTTGCGCCACCAGGGAGGAACCAGGATTTATTTCTTTTTATATAGAGGGAACTGGGATGTAGGCCAGAGGTGCTTGGGGCAAGAGGACTCACCAGAGACAGAGTGGGAATCCACTGAAATACACTGCTGAAGGGAGCAGCGGGCAAGACAGAAGAGGTCTGCTGTGCCCTGTGGGTCAGCTCTATGGAAGCCCCCGGTGATGACATTTTAACAAAAAAGAAAACTCAAATCTTCTTTTGATGTGTGTAAGAAGTAACTTTGCTTGTGCAGATTGGGAAAGTTTCCTTGGGGAAATAGGTGAAGTTTTTAAAGACGTTCAGCTTTCGGGTCACTGATACCCACACTGTAGGACACTAACATTTAACTGATAACCTTTTCTAGGTGATTCCGATTAGCCAGCAGGTACTTAGCATGCAACTTTTTCTTGGTCTTCTAAAGCACTTAACACTTACTCTCTTTCTGATTGATAATTTATGCTTTTTAATTTGTGCTTGAGAAGTAGTGTTTTTTTTTTCCCTCATAAATTACTGCCATTTTAATGTTTTTTAAGGAATGATCACTTTGGTGGGGAAAGTTGTCAGAAGTCTCCATTCTTTAAAATTTCTTAAAAATTCAACATCTCCTGGCCCTCCCTGGTGGCACAGTGGGTTAAAAGCACAGCACTGAGAATCTAAAGCCACTTCCTCATGAGTTCAATTCCCACCTGCCCCGGAGGTGACCACATGGCGTGGCAGACCTCTCCTGGCCTGCCCGCTGCTCCCCTCAGCAGTGTACTTTGTCTTTCTGCCTGTTCTGTTCCCCACTCTGTCTCTGGTGAAGCCTCTCACTGCCCCTGAGCCTCTGGCCTGCACCCCAGTTCTGTATGCACAAATAAATAAACCTTTAAAAAAAAATCAACATCTCCTATTATCACGACACACCAAGTCTCAAATATGTCTCTAGCTTGATCTCTGCTGTAAATTTCACATCCATAGATAGCCCTGCCTACTTGTTGAAACAGGTACCTCAAGCTGCTGTTCCCCTCACAGTCCCTCCTTCTCGACTTCCCTGTCTCAGGAAATGGTGTGTCTGTCCTTCTAGCTGCTCAGGCTAAAGCCCGTGCAGTTGTCCTTGACTTTTCTCTCCTCTCCTTCTCTACATATGTCCTGTATGCATACCATATTGGCTTTATTTTAAAAATAGAGTCAGAGTCAGACCATTTCTTATCACTCCCACTGCTACTACCTGCTTAAACTACAATCATCTCATGCCTACATGATTTTGAGATACTCCGAAGTGGTCTTCCTGCTTCCACACTGGACCCTCTACAGGGTGTTCTCAGCACATGTAGTGTGATCCTGTAAAGCATGGCACTCCTAAGACCAGAAGGCTCCAGGAGCTTCCCCTCTAAGAAAAAATCAAAGACTGTGTAGTGACCTCTAAGGCTATTCACAAATTATTATTTCCTACACCATTATCTTTTTGACTATAACTTATTCCCCCCCCCTTAGCTTACTGGTTTTGAGCTATAATAGCATCCTGTTGTTCCTCAGACATTCTAGGTATAGTCTCATATGGAGGTCTTTGCACTTTTCTAGAATGTTCTTCCTTCAGGTGGCCATAGGCCGTGTTCCTTTATTAATTTCAGATATTTTCCCAGTTGACACCTTCTTAATGAGGCTTTCCCTGACTACCTTTCAGTGACCTTCGTCTACTGAAAATTCCTAATGAAGTATCCCAAGCTCAGCAAGCACACTCCAATATTTCTTCTTGCCTTGAATGGATGGTTTTATGTATCTCATAGGATGCTGTAGTCCTCTTCAGCAAGGACTGATCTATATACTTAATGATTAGATTCTAAATTAAGGTAAAAATCAAGAATATGAAGAAGACAGCACTGATACAGAGGCATGAGGGAGGCAGGATGGACAGAACTTGCTCACTGACTGTATGTAGAGGTATAAATCAGAGGAAATGCATGAATAGTCATTATTTCCATGCTGTTTTAAGAAATGTTTACATCTTGTCTTCCCTAATAACTATATTTTCTTGCAGATGATCAAACAATTTCTTCCTTATTTGTGATAAGGCCTGTGGAATGTATATACACTTTCTGTGCAAAGCCTAGCATGCCTTCCTTGTATTTAAATCTCATGTCTGAGAATATTGCAAAAGACAGGCTCTCAGAAATTCCTGTTTTCTTTATGCATGTTCATGCTAAGGTGACATCAATATGGGTCTTCTGAGTCTCAAAGCACAGGATTTTCTTCCAAGAGGGAGCCTAGACAGCTGGACAGAACATACTAGCAGAAGCCTTTAGCCGAGCCAGTAACATGCCCAACAATGACCACTAGCTGCTCCTCTTAATGCCCCCTTTCCAATAAAAGAAATAAGAAAACATGTTTTTTTGGTATGTGTTACTTACAGCAAGGTGGGTCCACTGTACACACCTCCGAATGCACTTTTGTCAATATCTGTCAAGTGTTTATTCTTGTTCAGGTAACTAAGGAAAGAGAGAGAATGAATGAGGTTGAGCCAATTAATACAAACTGAAATGTGACCCTGGTCTCTCTATTAACTATTTTTTTTTAAATAAATATTCCTTTATTGTAAAATTTTTATTTTATTTTTACATAGAAGAACTGGTGTGTAGGCCGAGGTGTATGTGTGTTGGGGGTGGGGGGTGGTGAGAGGATTCACCGGAGACAGAGTGGGGAGCAGACAGGTGGTTTTTCTGAAATACACTGCTGAGGGGAGTAGCGGGTAAAATACACTGCTGAGGGGAGCAGCGGGTGAGACAGGAGAGGTCTGCTGCACCATGTGTGTCAACTCCTTATCAGGGATCAAACTCATGCTAGAAGGGTGCTAGTGCTGAGACTTAACCCTTAGGCTACCAAGGAGGCCCAAGAATTTGTGAAACACCTTACTTTTTTGCCTTAAGCATTCAAAACATGCTGGGTTTCAATTGTGCAAGATTTATACACATTAGTCATTGTCGAAATCTTTGAATATGAGTATGTTTGGCCCATTAGATTTTGTGAAAGATGCCTAATTCCCTATTTACTTGGATAGTGGTAATTATAGTTTCCAATAATCCTCAATACCAAACAGATTTAAACTTTGTTTCTTACTATAGAAGAATAACCTCATTTGTTTTTGAAAACAGGGCTTAAAGCAACAGTGAAATGAATGTGGTGAAAGTGGTGAGTGGTGACAGGGATTGTCAGAGATTCAGATGTTTTCTTCGGGGTCCAAATATAAGATACCCAGTTAATTTTGATTTTCAGATAGTTAATAATATTTTAGTGTAAGTATGCCCCATGCAACTTTTGAAGACATTCTTATATTAAAAAGTGATTTGTGGTTCATCTGAATGCAACTTTTGAAGACATTGTTATATTAAAAAGTGATTTGTTGTTCATCTGAAATTAAAATGTAATTGGGTGACTTGCATTTTCATTTATGCTTGTGGGAGCAGGTCATAGAGATACCATAACTGAGGGTCCCTTTCCTGATAGGGTTTTGGTGGTCACATTGACCTCTCCATTTTGAAAACACATTGGGCATTTGAGGGTAAAATACTTTTGAAGCAATTTAAGTCATAAAGTGATTCTCGAACATAAAATTACCTCTAATAGATTAAAGCTTTCAAGGACTTTGAAACTGGTTCCATCTGGCCCCTGGCTTTTTAAGAGAACAAGATTATCTGAAAAGAAGCAGTGTACATGTATATTCTGGTTGTGAATGATCTCCATGACATATGTTGAACTCACCACAGAGCCTAGTGAACTGAAGAGCTAGTGAGTGACCACCTACTGATGCAAATGGATACACTGAAGAATTTAGGAGGTCTGCTTAGATAGTGTCACACCCCTAGTTTATTTATGCTATTTGTGCTTCATGATGGAAAATCCTTTACAATGCTTGTTAAGACCTTGGGTCAGAGGTTTCCTGTTCCAGAGTCCTCATTTAAAAGCACCCCCTGGGTTACCTAGCTGCACTTCTCTTTCTCTAAACTGAGGAGAAAAGGGTCAGGTGTCCTCATTTGTGGAGAATGGAGGAGGAGGGGTAGCATCTGTTGCTGCTGAACAAAGGCAGGAACAAACAGTGCTTTTAGTAGATTCTGGCCCTCAGTTGTTCCTGGTCCAGCACTCAGCTCTCCTCCAGTCCTCTCTAAAGGACAGAACTTCTTAGAATAAGAGGAAGCCACCTGAGATCAAGAAATGGGTCTTCAATGGAGCAGCTGGGGAAAGAAGAATGTTACCAACCACCAATGAAGTCTTCCTTTTCTGGGCAGATGAGGGGTTAACTGGATGAGGAAGTAGCTGGAGCCCATAAAGTGAGGCCACAGAAATTGGTGCAGACTTTGTGATTCTTTCCATTTTTTCCTCAAGCTGAGGTGATGAACTGCCTGATCTAAAGTAGTCACCACTCATTTCCCTCACTGCACCCCTTAGGTCCCTCAGTTCCCTCGTGGCATTGTCCCTCTATGTCTCTTGTTTTCTGTTTGTCTTCAGTGTCCCCAACCAGAGCATCAACTGTTTGTCTTAGTCATTGCTGGATCATCAGTGCTGGGTTAAATGCCTCCATAATTATTTACTGAATGAACATGTAAATGAGTGAATTAAAAAAAAATCAATGGACCTTTCCAACAGTGAGGCGGGTGACACTAAGCTCTTAAGGTGGTGCCTGTGAGAGCTTTAAGGAAAAAATTATAGAGAATGAAATATGACTCAGCAGTTGTCTTTCTTGTGAGAAGGCTGACAGATGCCACAAGCACACATGGCCCGGATGTGGGCCCAGCTAGCGCTGAACACTGAGCTTACGGATGCTGTCAAGTCTGAGCTGTAGAGCACCAATGACCTCGTATTTGTATGTAGACCTAACTGAGAGGCTAAAGCAGTCAACATAAATCTTCTGGATGAATGGCTACCACTGAAGGCCCTCATCACAGGCTTCATGTTATCATTGCTTGACTTTCCTTCAACCCACTGTGTTTACAGTGTGCCCTTGGTGCAATGATAGCTAGCATTGGCCAAGGCCACCTTGAGAAGATTTGATTTGCCTAACTTTGTAACAGGACAGCAAGAAGCATCACACTGGCTTGTGTCTCTTTTATTCTTTGGCTCATGTGGCTTGCTAATCACAATCACTTCTTAGGCTGGTGAAAGCCAAGCAAGGACTGGTGAGCTCATCTCAGTTCTTTCTCTCCACTGCCAACTGCTGTAAGTGAAGATCAGCTTGCTCTAATCATTATACATTATTGTAAATCTCAATAGTTCCTCATCCAATTCTGCAGTGTTTTCATCTGATATTCAATACTCCCCCAAGGATAAGAAGGTTTGTTCATGCACATCGCAGTTTACCAGAAACAACGCAGAAGATTTCCAACTGGGAAAGCCACCCAGAGTCCAGAGGAGAGAAGGAGGATGGCGGGGGTGAGGGTTGGGGTGTGTGGGGGGTGGTGGGCTGCCAACACACACAGGGATGAACTGAGTCTTGGGGGAGGCTGCCTTCTCGGAATCCAACAGGCTGTTTGGGGCCTCATATTTAGGTGCTTAAAAATGAAGTGTCATTCTGGTGTTAGCTGCTTTATTTTTGCTTTTAACCTTGGGTTCAGATTGTTCATTCTACCTGCCATCTGATAGAGAAGTGCAGTTGGGAAATACATCTGCAGAAACCTTAATCTCCAGGGAGAAAAGCTCCCACTTGCCCCACTGATCACACAAAGCTTATTGAGAATGTCAGTCTAATTCAACTGACTGCTTGACTGCGACTCCTCCTGATTGCTCTAGAATCAATGTTCTGTAAACTGACTTGGGTAACTCAGTGACAAACCTTGGTGGGGTGGGAAGGAGGGGGCTCAATGTGTAATAGGCCCATTCTGGGTAACAACGGGTAATGCTTCTCAGAAATGATTGTTACAGGTGTGGAAATGATTGTTACAGGTGTGTGTCCAATAATTTGCACTCTTTCAGGGACAAGGTAAATATAAATGAACTTAAAATTGAGTAGAAAGTTTTGTTTTTAGAGGTAAAATAAAAGACAATTTCAAAGTCAGGTGTTTGAGATATAAATACCGGAAGGGCGTAAAAGGAAATAACTGGCATTTCCTTTAAAAAAAAGTGATATATCTGTGTGTGTTAGTTTTTTTCACCGTTTAGAGGATTTATACATTTTTGAGAACTTCTTGGAATAATTAAGTTCTTCCTTGAAAAGATATGTTATATTTTTCATATAGTAGGAGAAGAGTTAATAAACCCTGCCTTGATTTCAGTATTGTGCATTTCACCATTAAGGAAGGATAACATATTCAGAAAAATGGAGAGGGTCAGAAATGAGTTGGGGGAGAAAATCCACCTGACAAATTCAGTATTAGACAAACTCAGTATTGTAGGTGGCTCACTCTCCTCCCCATTTACCTCACTCTTGGCACGTGCTGGATGAACATATCTCCTCTAGAAAAACGGCACCCCTGATAGAATGTTTACATGAGGAAGTGATCCATGTCAGAGGAGTATGATACTGTGGCAAAGAAAGCTTGTTTTCCGGGGAATTTTTAGGGTACATTTCAGCTCCAAAATGGAATCTCAGCCTGCATCTCATAATCCCTTTCGAGAAAAGTAGGACTGGCACATGTTTATGTTGTGAGATTCTCCTGGGAACACTTCGGTGGGGAGCCTGGTCTTCCCCTCCTTTGCCCCCATAGCGTGGTTATTTGGAAAAGTAAAGGGAATCCAGCCCTCATTGCTGGCTGAATCAGGACACCTGTTTCTGAACAGTAACAGGTGAGCAAATTCTCAAGGTTTCTTGAGGCAGAGGGAACAGCCAGTGTGGGATCATATCCTCCAAGCTGTTCAAGAGCTTGCCCCATGAGAAATAATAGCCTGCTTGATCTTATAATCTTCTCTAAGGTCAGCTTTTCTCAATGCTCCAGCTGTGGTGCTTTGCTTCTAATGAGCAAATGTGTGATGCTAATTAGCACTGAGTGGTGTTGACTTTTCGATGATTAGCGTTTAGTTTCTTCTTAGCTCATCAACATGGTATTTTCTCTCCTGCCTAAATGTTTACTGTCAGAGAGTAGCCGGTTCCTGGAGCTTGTCTAAGTTCCAGACACTTAGACACTGAGAGCACAACAGATTCCCCCCCCACCCCCACCCAGATTGCGTAGAAGGAGATGGAAAAGAGGTTCCAAAGAATGAACACATGGCTTAACTTGGGAACGACATCAGTTCAACTTCTGTTGAGCAGGGGATACCTGCATTATTACTAATTTCACAGCTGAGCGACGACAATGTGCTTGGTTCCATCTGAAGTCACAGGACCTTGTGCTTTGTTACATCTGCCATTTCATTCATTTTCATGAACTTCTAAATAATTACCAGCTGCTAGTGAATACGGTACAAAGCTAGTTCTCAGAGTGGAATTTATCCCTCGTGGTTGGAATCATATACTGGTGTTAATAAAAAAAATGGGTCTAAATGAGGTCATATCTGCTCTTTT